ACCTTCAAAAAGCGGTTACAACGCCACTGCGTACATACACAGCACAGAGCACTGAAGACACGTAGTTGGGGCAGCTTGTCAGTATAATACACCAAAATTTCCAATTGAAAAAATGTCACTTAAAAAAAAAAAAAAAAAAGGATATTAAAATAGTATTTACACAAAATTCTTTTATATCTATCAGCTAAAAGAAAATCTCTTCTTGAGCACTGCTAGATTCCCACCTCCCCACTTTCTTTTTTTTTTTTTTTTACTGTAGGGAGAATAAAATACAATTTAAAATATTCCAATATTATTTAAGACTTCTGCATAAGGTATGGAACCTCGCATGGCTTGGGCTAAGACTGATAATATAAAGCTGTTTCTGGACAACACTATACTAATCCTTACTGTAAATGATTCACTGTAAATGTAACTCTCATGACGTGTTACAAAAATGTCACAGGAGATGTTCCCCTACAGAAAAAGAGTGAAAGCATTATTTGCCACAAGAATCCTGATGCCTAACTGAAAAATTTAAAGCCTTCCAAAATGAGAAAGGGAAGAAGCAGTCTTCCAAATCACACTGTCAGTACGTACTTCGATTTCTGTGAAGTGAAAGCATGATGAGCGCAGAGCAGCGAGGCACCCACACAAGCCTCTCTCCAGTCTTTTAGGACTAAGACAACTCAAACAAAGCTTTATTTACATTGCAGATTTACATTTTTACAGTCGGAGGGCCTGATCTTCTGGCCCTGTTCAGAAACCACCGAGCTCAGGGGCTGGTATTAGCGACCACTCGCGGAGCGACCATGCCTCTCCTAAGGCTTTCACCGAGCAGCTTTTCTAGTGCTAATTTCCCAAACTTGGTGGACTGGGTAAGTGCTGCCTACTATTGTCATCATACCGTCATCATTGTCAACATCGTCATCATCGTCAATACAACCACTTTTAAAGCACAGTTGCAAAGGAGGATTGCGTCTAAAAGGAGCTGCAAGCAGGGTGGCTCCTTTTCCAGGTTTTCGTCCAATGCACCACTGATTTCTTTTTATGGAGAGCTTAAACCTTGGGCAAAAGATTTAAGAAATCAGTGCTGGATTTGGAAAATGTAGCCTTTCAAATATGTCTGCTGTCTGATCTACAATGAACCGATCGGACACCAAGAAGCTAATTATCTCAGACACTGTACAACCACCCTCAAGAACAAATGTGAATATTCACAATCCTATTTCAGAACAGGTGCTATTTTCTGCATTTTTAAGACAGGCTCACTGTCTCGACCTATCAAAACTAATATGTGTAATACCTAAACTTCTGAAAGAAATCTAAACTACCATTGCCTCCTGTCAGAAGTATCAATACGAACCTCTTTAGCATCTCAAGACAATAACCAGCCCAGTGAGCTAACGCACAAACTCAAGGAAGCAGCATTTTATATTTGAAACATAATTTTCAAGTGCAAGTGGAAAAAATCAGTATGGTATTTCTCAGCTGATCAGTGGCCTCTTGTGTTCTCGGTGAAGTTGATTACAAGCTTTGCACTATTTCAGAACAGTAAAACCTGGCTTTCACCCGTATGAACCAGGGACCCAGAGCTCTATTTTCTCAATATCACCTTGTATTCCTTCTTTCCACTACTCTCAAGTCCTAAAAATCCTGAGAATGCTCTTCAAATTTCAAATCCAAGCATATCAAACTCATCACCTGTCTTGAAATGTTCAAGGGCCACTTTTGAAAAAATATTTTAGAAAACTGCTAATAAGTTGTTAAAGTTGCCCATCCTGTGAAAATTGACTTCAATGTAGATATGGAAGAAAACTCACAAGCATTTTCCATTTGGGATAAATTTTTCTGGCTTTTCTTAAGAAATGAAACAAGTTAATCATAGAATCACTCAGGTTGGAAAGGACCTTAAAGATCATCAAGTCCAACCACAGCCCAGCCATCCTACCCTCACTCTAACAACCCTCCGCTAAGTCACATCCCAGAGCACCACATCCAAATGGTTTTTAAGCACATGCAGGGATGGCGACTCAACCACCTCCCTGGGGAGCCTGTTCCAGTGCTTAACAACTCTCTCTGTTAAGAAGTGTTTCCTGCTATCTGTCTTGAAGCCTCCACTTTCTGTACTGCTAAGCAAGCAGATGACACAGCTGACAACAAAACAGATGCTGCTTTGCCATGGATGATGGCCCATCCCCTGATCAGTATGCTGAGAGAGTCTCCGTGGAAAGCAGACTATGGGCCTGGCCCAACAACCTATACTCATATGAGAAACTTTTTCCCACCTTAGACCTTTTCTCATCTTCAAAGTGCCACTAAAACGAATAAGATTGAAAGAGTACAACAACAGTTTCAGTACTGGGGCATACATTGCATCCTTGCTTTTCAAGCATAATCACCATCTTCAGCCAGGAATAAGGCTTGAAAACATATGACTCTATTGGATAGGATATTTGGTTCTTTTTTAAACCTTGGTTACATTATGAATGACATAAAGTAATAGAGAATGTTACCATCA